GTAGTAATTTCATAAAATTAGCAAAAAGAAAACAATGTTTGTAGAATAATTTTGTCATGTAATCTTACGTATCTATATTAGTAGTATTATAGAGACTGAAAACTTCCGAAATTAAAGCAAAGATATTTAGCAACAGAAACTTTCGAATACAGAGCGTGTCCAAAATTAAAAATTAAATCTAGAGGTGTTTATGCACACTGTTTACTGCTACAAGATAGTTAAGAGTATTTAATAACAGGAGTGAGTACGTAACTATTTTTTACTTGTAACTATAATTGGAAGATATTAAGTAATTAAATGTGAATAAAGATATAAAAATTTCAGACATTGATAATAGAGAAGAAGAATTTATGAAACATGTACCAGTAACGACTGATATATTACGTTTTCCTTCGAACGAATTGTTACAATGCTTTCAAGTAGCAAACTTTAAAAAATAGATATACACCATGCACAAAGTGAGGAATCAAAAGAAAAACTCTTTCGAAGCAATAAACTTTACGTTACATCCAAGTCCTTAAATACTCTAACTTTAAAAACTTTTAATATCTGCATACAGTATCAAAGACTTCTGCAGTTTTGAGCAAGCCATGCTACAACGCATCGCTTGTCAAGTAATTGCAGTGTAACATACACTAAAATTTTCAGACTATATGATTAACTTTTTCGACTCTGAATGCCAATTACGTGATGAAAATTTGTCTTTTTTTTAACTCTCATTACCTATATTAAATTATATCAATATTTATTTTATTTATATATCTATATATCTATATATATTTTTATGTATATCACGCCAGTCTCTCATCGTCAATTTAGTAACATAGTACACATTGTCAACAATCACTCTGTTGATTCTCATCTGTTTTGTCTAGATAGCTTCACATGTTCTTAACTGAATCACTAAATTATGCTGGCTTCTGTGAACCCTTCTTTCCAATCAACGATTTATGGATATGTGGAATAACACCTGTCACAGAAAGAAAATTATTTAATCGTAATTGCATCGATATAAGATTACATTAATATAGCTAATGTAAACTACCATTTAAAATATAACTTTGTACATTAAGAACAAGCTATTGTTTTAATTTATTATAAGGTTATGTAATAGGATAATGTGATCGTACAATGTTTTAAATGCGTCAATTACGCCAAGAAAATCAATAAAAAACATACCTCCTCCTGCAATAGTTGCTTTAATGAGACTATCTAATTCTTCATCACCACGAATAGCAAGCTGAAGATGTCTTGGCGTGATACGTTTCACCTTCAAATCTTTTGATGCATTTCCTGCCAATTCAAGAACCTAAAACAAACGACATATTGTTTCATAACGTATCTAATATCGTACGATACTTGTGAAACCATTAGCACGTAACTTGAAAAAAAAAAAAAAAA